ATTCTAACATGGGGGAGTACTCGAAAGCCCTTTCATCCTACGAACGATCGCTTGAAATCCAAAAAATAGCTCTTCCTCCGAATCATCCCGACTTGGCTGCTTCTTTTAACAACATCGGTATGGTGTATTCTAACATGGGCGAGTACTCGAAAGCCCTTTCGTCGTACGAACGATCACTTGAAATACAAAGAATAGCTCTCCCTCCAAATCATCCAAACTTGGCTACATCCTACAACAACATCGGTATGGTGTATTCTAACATGGGGGAGTACTCGAAAGCCCTTTCATCCTACGAACGAGCACTTGATATCCGCAAAATAGCTCTCCCTCCGAATCATCCCGACTTGGCTACTTCTTTCAACAACATCGGTATGGTGTATTCTAACATGGGGGAGTACTCGAAAGCCCTTTCATCATACGAACGATCGCTTGAAATACAAAACATAGCTCTTCCTCCGAATCATCCCTCGTTGGCTACTTCCTACAACAACATCGGTATGGTGTATTCTAACATGGGCGAGTACTTGAAAGCACTTTCATATTATGAAAAAGATTTGAATATCAGCCAGAAAACGCTCCCTCCAAATCATCCCGACTTGGCTTCTTCCTACAATAACATCGGTTCAGTGTATGATAATATGGGTGAGTACTCGAAAGCGCTTTCATGCTACGAACGTTCGCTTGAAATTCGTAAAATGGCTCTTCCTTCGAATCACCCCGACTTGGCTGCTTCTTATAACAACATCGGTATGGTGCTTGATAATATGGGCGAATACTCGAAAGCACTTACATGGTACGGACGAGCACTTGAAGTCCAAAAAGCAACTCTCTCTCCAAATCATCCTGACTTAGCTACTTCTTACGAGAACATCGGTGTGGTTCTTGATAACATGGGACAATACGTGGAAGCACTGTCATCGTATAAACGAGCACTTGAAATTCGAAAAATAGGTCGCCCTTCAAATCATCCCGACTTGGCTGACTCCTACAACAATATTGGTCTGGTATATAATAACATGGGCGAGTACTTGAAAGCACTTTCATCTTACCAACGATCACTTGATATCCGAAAAGTAGCTCTCCCTCCGAATCATCCCGACTTGGCTACTTCCTATAACAACATTGGTGTAGTGTTTAAAAACATGGGCGAGTACGACAAAGCACTTTCGTTGTACGAGCAATCACTTGAAATCCGGAAAGTAGCACTACCTTCGAATCATCTGGACTTCGCTCAATCGTATAACAACATTGGTTCAATCTATAAATGTATGGACGAGTATTTGAAAGCACTTTCATATTATGAAAAAGACCTGGAAGTCAGCCAGAAAGCACTTGCTAAGAATCATCCGGACTTGGGTAAATCTTACAACAACATCGGTGAAGTCTATGATAAAATGGGCGAGTACTCGAAGGCACTTTCATATTACGAACGAGCACTTGAAGTCTGGAAAATAGCTCTCCCTCCGACTCATCCACATATTACAGTTGTCAATGGAAACATTGAAAATATAAAAAAGAGATTATAATTTGTTTTCTTTTTATTTTAATACAAAAATAAATTGCCGTAATCCTTTTTCAGGTGAACTCAATCCGAAGATTTCGTTCACTGCGATAAAATGGTTGTAGCGCCCATGAGACAAGAGAGACCTTCACATCCTGCTTGACTGCACAGTGGATAAACCCAACAATCTTAGAGAAACATGCACCTGAGGTGGAGACCTCTTCTTTAGCTCAACTTTTCGTTTACCAACAGAACATTTAACCTTTCTGACAGAGTTAGAAAGTCACTTGGGTTTGAGTATGAGTCAGAGACCGAAATCGAACCCAACATAAGTGAAGTGGAACTACTTCTTGAATAACGATGTCGAACTGAACCAAATTCGAACTGAATAGTTTTCCAAAAGCAAGTTAATATAGAAAACTATTAAGGAAAATGATTGATTTGACTCTCATTTTT